GAAGGCAGTCGCTTAGCCAACTGAGCCACCCAGGCACCCAATAGTGGATTCCTTTTCAATCCCTATATGGGATAGATCTTTTGAATCATTTTGTGCACCTTTCATCCCCAAGTTAGCTCAGAAGTAAGCTGATGCCCTTGTAGTTTGTCATGACGATTCTTGTGATAACTGTAGGCTTCAGGCCTTGGTCAGATTTTTATTCCTGCTTTCAACATCTCTGATCAAATCAAGAGCCTGAGAGCCCTGATGTGAATTATTTCTCAAAACAAGGACATAAAATGAAACAAATATCTGATCCTATTAATTTGAGTAGCGGTAGTAAAATTTTTTTGTCTCAACCCCAAATCTGTCAAATCTGGACACATATACTAATTTTGCACTTATCTTTTATAGTCCTTTATTCATTAGGGACATCACCAGTCAATGAAATGGTCATATAGAATTAAAGGAGGACCATGAAGAGAAGCATGAAACTTGGATCACTACAGATGTAATGAATGACACTTGAATAAATGCATTGACTGTAACTCTGCTTTGGGTGATGCTTTTAAAACTCATTTTGATATTACGATGGGTGATATCAGATCTCATTTAAATCACAGTAGTTAAAATAACACAAAGAGTAGGAATGGAAAATAGAGAAAGATTTGATGTTTCCTTTCAAACATCTCCATCATCTTCTCTATTTGTAAGCTAGTTTTTCCTTTTCCTTATTAATAAGATAATGGCACTTAATAAAAGAGGTAGAGAGTTTGAATGTCCCAGTATCTAGTATCCTGAGTGCCAGATTAAAGAAAATGGAGAGGCCCTGAAACCTCATAAACATTGGTTCATATTCTAAGATTCAGTTTAGATGTTTTTGCAACTGGTAAACATTTCCTGAGAGGGCGCCTGGGTGGCTCAGTCATTAAGCGTCTGCCTTCGGCTCGGGTCATGATCCCAGGGTCCTGGGATCGAGTCCCACATCAGGCTCCCTGCTCGGCAGGAAGCCTGCTTCTCCCTCTCCCACTCCCCCTCTTGTGTTCCTGCTCTCGCTGTCTCTCTCTCTGTCAAATAAATAAATAAAATCTTTAAAAAAAAAAAAACATTTCCTGAGAGATCCCACTAGTTGCAGCATTAGGTTCTGTAGCTTACATAGCCTAATAGCTATATAATGCTTTTGAAAAGGAGAATTATGTATAAATAAAAGTTTATCTGAAACAGATGGGGGTAATCTGTTGTACAGGGAATTATAAATTTAAAAATATCTGCTTCCAAAAGGAAGTAAAATTCAAATTACATATTTTTAAATTTATATTTATATATTAAATAATCTTAGATTTAGTTAAAAATGACATTTTCAATACTTACAGGAACTGAGATTTGTGATTCTGAAGGTCTTGATCTCTTTTTTCTACCTGGCTGGAGTGGTTTGGGAAATGTCAAAGTAAAATAATCTTGATTCCATAATTTTCTGCTTGATTCATTGACTAAAATGAGTGAGGACAATGAACAATTTGCAATTAATAGACTTTTATCAGCACTGAAATATTCTTGAGTAAGAAATATATTGTTTAAGATAAATTATAACTTAAAATATAGCTTTCCCCTCTTGAGTCTATAGTTTATTTGCATATCAGTTAGGGAAAATAAAAGCTGATTTCTTCATTTAGGGCTAAATTATGTGTAAACTTACATTTGTAATTTTATTTTCTAGATTAAACTAGTTTTCACAATTTTCACTTAAATCATAGTAGTTAAAATAATACAAACAGTAGGAATGGGAAACAGAGAAAGATTTGATGTTTCCTTTCAAACATCTCTATTTTGGTTTTTCTTTATGTCATTTTGGTTCTGTTGCAGACAATATGTCTTCTATAACCCCATGATAGCACAATGCAGAGCGTAGTCAGTAAAGTCTCTATTGATTAAATCTAATAATTTATTTTAGTGCTCCTCTGACCTCAATGACATCTAAGCCACAGAAATTAAGGCTACAAACCCAAATCCTGATTTTAGTTCAGGGAAC